TTAATAAGGGAATATGAAAGCTTGTTGACAGATAGACACAGTGTATTGAAAAGCAAGATTAGGTGGAAAATGATGTATTTATTTTTTCTAAAAGTTGATTAAAAGAAATGCTACAGTCAGAGTGTGAATAATTTTTTACTCATCCTCATAATTGTGCTCATGAGGAACCTGTACATAGACCAAGAGGCAGTTGTTCAAACAGAACGAGGGGTTACTAAATGGTTTTAAATCAGAAAGGCCGTGCATCAGGGTTATATCCTTTCACCATACTTATTCAATCTGTATGTTCAGCAAATAATCTAAGAAACAGAATTATATAAAGAAGAATTTGGCATCTGCACTGGGGGAAGACTTATTTACAACTTGTGATATAGAGATGCTACAATCTTCCTTGCTAAAAGTTAAGAGGACTTGAAATACTTACTGATCGAGATCAAAGACTGCAAACTTCAGTATGGATTGTACTTTAATGCAAAGAAAACAAAAATCTTCACACTTGGATTGATAACATCAGTAATACCAGAGAAACGGTTGAAGTTGCCAAAGACTTCAATTTGCTTGGTTCCACAATCAAATCTCATGGAAGCAGCAGTCAAGAAATCAAAAGGCATATTACATTAGGCAAATCTGCTGCAAAAGACCTCTTTAAAATGCTCAAGAGAAAAGAGGTCAGTTTGAGGATTAAAATGCACTTGTCCCAAGCCATGGTATTTTCAATTGCCTTATATGCATTTGAACACTGGACAATGTATAAGCAAGATTGGAAAAGGATCAATGTTACTTGAATTATGGTGTTCCAAAGAATATTGAAAGTACCATGGGCTGACAGAAGAATAAACAAATCTTTCTTGAAAGAAGTACAGTCAGAATGCTCCTTAGAAGAAAGAATGGGGAGACTTCATCTCTTGTTCCTTGGATCTGTTGTCAGGAGGGACCAGTCTCTGGAGAAAGACATCATGCTTGGTAAAGTGGAGGGTCAGTGAAAAAGAGGAAGTCCTCAATGAGATGGATTGACAGACGGCAGAGCAATGGACTCAAACAAAACAATGGTGAAGATGGCACAGGACCAGGCAGTATTTTCCCTGCTGTAAATAGATGTGGTTGCTATGAGTCAGAACCAACATGGCATCTCACAACAACAATAAAAGTTTGTTGATCCCTTAAGAGGGAATAGTTAACAAGTTTAATGAAGGGTCATATAGTATATCACCAAACCAAACAAGTTTCTGTTGACTCAATTCCAACTCAAGGCAGTCCCATGAGTGTCAAAGTAGAACTGTATTCTATAGGGTTTTCACCACTATGCCTTTTCACAAGTAGTTCACTAGGCCTCTCCTCCAAGGAGCTTCTGGTGGTGGTGAGGAGGTGGTTTTAGATGCTGTCGAGTTGGTTCCAAGTCATAGTGACCCTATGCACAACAGAAGGAAAACTGCCCCATCTTCTATAGGGGGGTTCAAATTGGCAAGCTTTCAATTAGTAGCCTACTGTTTCACCATTTTAGCCACACAGGAGCCCAAGAAGGGATATACCTGTGAAATATCTGAGAAAAGTTGCACTTCAGGAAAGGTAAGCATCCACCAATGAAAAGGTGGATGCCACCAAAACTCTATTTCCCCAGCTTCACCATTTTGCTAAGAAATAATCCTAGACCAATATCATGGCTACATACCTGCTACTTTTCTCTGGCTTACCAGAAAAACAAAGCATACAGTATTGCTTGGAAATCAAGTACCAACACTGGAATTCATCATTTCTTAGATAGAATAGGTCTACTTACCTCCAACTCAGCTGCCACCATCTCTATGTCCACCATCACCCTAAAGGCAAAGGGATCATTTCATTATTCAGATCAGATCATTTCACATCTTGCTCTCTTATTAAAGTCCACAGGTCCCAACAGAAGTCTGCAAGGCTCTCTATGACCTAGTTTCTTTGGAATTCACCAGCTGCATCTCACACAAAGCCCACCCCCCCCCCCCACCCCACCCCCACACACACTCATTACACTGCACCAGTCTGGCTTCTGCCAGTTCTGGAAGGCATCCTGTTCCTCAGACCCTTGCATTTGCAGCTCTTTCTATCTGGAATGGTTTTCCCAGCCCCTGACTATAGCATATTTATTGCCTAGTTCTCAGTTTAAATTTAAGTTAGTTCCTTAGGGGAAAGTCCTTACTCACCATACCAAACTAGGTTTGGACCCCATCACACAGTGTAACAACACCCTGTGCTGTTTCTTCTGTTCCACTTTCAAAATTTGCAAAAAAAAAAATTAATTAATCATGTAATGGTTGTCTGTCTATGCCCTACATTCTATTGTCCATGAGGGGATTTAGCATGTCTCTCTTATTTATTACCATATTCCCAGATACTGATATCGTGTCTTATATGTAGTAGGTAGTAAATATTTGCTGAACTGATGAATAAAGTTGCAGGGTCTCCATGGAGATGTTTCCCAAGTCATATTTCCAGCAGATGTGGAGGTCATTGGGAAGCGGCAGTGAGAGTTATAGTTATCTCTTTTCTGACAATAAATGCCCTAGAGGAGATGGAAGTCGATGGTGGTTTTTATGATTGTAGAATAGAAAATAGCTTGCTTTCACTGAGGCAGATGGTCCATAAACAATGCTTCAGTAGTAAAATAGAGTTTCTGACTTATGTTGATCAAGGAATATTAGAAAAGTTATATATGGGACTCAGTTCAGTCCTACATCATAATAAACAAACTGTTTTCAATAATTAATGCAAATCAGTATTTCTTTCTTTCATTCTACAGTATTTTGATTCTCTATGTCATCTTGGAAAGTAGGCTGACATAGTCTAGTAGAGCATTCCCTTGTTTATGTCTCCTTTACCCTTTCTGGTTTTGTCTTCCTCTGTTTAGCCCCTTGTATTTTCCACAACAAACATCTAAATTGTATAGATTCAATGTTGAGAAAAGAAGTCCAAGGTGCATTGAAGGAATTGACAAAGAACATTTTTTTATTCTTTATTTGGTCAAGGCTGACTTTCACCTCCCCACAAACAACCAAAGAATGTGAATGACCTTACTATACAAACAATGAGCTATTGACTTGAATCATTCTGAGTGCAAATATGAACTTAGTAGAAAAAAATTCAAGTCACTGAGAAAACACTAAACAATACACAGGACAGGTAAGAACAATAAGTGAATAAATAAGCTTACATTTTATAGTGGGTTATCATTTACTAAACCCTTTAACATCCCATCTCTCTTGACCCTGTGCTCAATCACAGCAACACAGAAAGATTTGCTGGTGAGAAAAATGAGCCAGAGTATTTCTGGTTCAAGGTCACATAGTTAATAAAGAGAATACAAGGCCAAAGTCTACATTTTTCTACTTCAGTAGGCCTTTGTAGTTGTCTTCCAAATTTCTTGGCAGAGATGAGTGAGTGCCTCCAGTGCCACCTCACTTTCTTGAAAGATTTCAGTTTGTATTCCATCAATTTCTGGAGCCTTGTTCTTTGCCAATGCCTTCAATGCACCTTGGGCTGATTGAACCTTGGGCTGATCATATGCTACCTCTTGAAACAGTTGAACATCGACCATTTCCTTTGTGTATTCCTTCCATCTTCTTTTGATGCTTTCTGCATCATTCAATACTTTGCCCAGAGAATCCTTCAATAATGAAAGTCGAAGCTTGAATTTTTTCTTCAGTTTCCTCAGCTTGAGAAATGCTGAGTGTGTTCTTCCCTTTTGGTTTTCTGACTCCAGATCTTTGCACATTTCATTGTAATATTTGACTTTGTCTTCTCAAGCTGACCTTTCAGATTTTCTGTTCAGCTCTTAAACCTCCTCATTTCTTACCTTTGCTTCGGCATCTCTATGCTAGAGAGCAAGTTTCAGTGTCTT